TTTTAATATTTTTCTCTGCTCTGTTTGTGTTGTAAAGATAAGGGAAAGATAATGAAAATGGCTTTTTACAAAAAGAATAAAAACAAATTAGGCTTTGCGCATACTAGGTAAAAATATATATAGGTAAATGGGTTTAAATGTCACAGTAGTCTAGTACTTTAAAGACATTTTATCTGTTTCTCAGTTATAACTGGTGAGCACGGAGAGGGAACTATTTCAGTTAAAAACCAAATTGCTGTGTTTTCAACAGGATGCATTCAGTTTACTAGCTTATTCGGATCCTTGGAACAGTCCAGTTGGAAATCAGCTTGACCCAATTCAAAGAGAACCTGTGTGCTCAGCTCTTAACAGTGCAATATTAGGTAAGTAAAGGCTAAAAGCCCAACTCCAACTAGATTTTCTGAACATTTGAGATGGTATTTGTGCTGGCATTTATATTTTGGTAAAATTATAAGGGAAATGTTTTCTATATTTTAAAAATTAAAATTACCTTAAAATATAGAAACCTTCTCTATTCTTTCAGTTCCAGGTTAAATGGGTTCAAGTGGAATAAAAACAATACATTGGGGTGCATCTGGGGAAGTTTGTAAATTAGTCTTCTGTGTGTGTATGTAACCATTTCTGGCCTGAGCCACCCATATCACAGCTTCTGCCATGCTTAAGATATGGGCATAAGGTGCTTCCAAGTGACTTGGGAATGGCCCATCAGTTTCAACCCTTGGCGTCAAATTATATTTGCATTAAAGTTAAGCACATTCAGCTAGATGCCCTTACCAAGTAAAAAGGGTGGTTGGGGAAAAGAACCGCAGTTTAAATAGGCTTAGCCAGGGGTGAGCATGAAGTGAGAAACTGGAATTTGCTGTTCCCCTGGTTGGTTGCCATTCCTGTGAGCGACTCACTAGAGTATAATTATAGTGTTTATGTAGTGAACAATACTTTTTATATGAATTCTATAACTATTTTTTGTGCATTTATATATGACCTCGATAGGGTTGGTTGATTACATAAAACTATATTTTAATTTCTGGGCAATTATTTTCAAAGGTACGAGTAATTTTTTACTTGACTTGATAATTCAAATCCCCGGTAAAATGGGACTAGTTTCGAAGTCATTTCTGTGCTATTTGGCCTTATTAGGTTTGGGGCCATGATTCATACCACTTTAGGTAGATTAGAAAAGTACCAAAGAGTAGATTAGAGGATATTTAAACAGGGAGACTTGGAATGAGGGCCTGGGCTCATATGGCCAGAAATGTAAAAGGAAGCAATAAAAGTACTCATATTTGAGCCTTAATCTGTTTCTTTGCCCTTGTAAAATTCATTTTTCTGTGTCTCATACTGAAGTTTTGAAAATAGGGGTAGTGTCTTTTGTGTTGTAGTTTTCCTAAATTTAGAATTTGTGTATAATAAATAATGTGAATTTTCTTTGTGTTAATGTGTTGTATTTTCTTTGGTTATACTAAATTCCTTTAGCTCTATTGGTAACTCAGTAGCAATGTTGGGATTGTGGGGTAATGATAGTTTACTGTAATTGTACTTTTGAAATTACTTACCCTATAGAGGTAATCATGCAGCCTTAATTTGTATTTAGATAATACTCAGACTTGGAAAACATTTTTTAAGAAAAGTGAACAATTATTTATATCTTGGGATCTTCAAGGGAATTAAATTTTTAAATATTAAGTTGCTTGGGACCATTTATCCAAGATATATGTAATCTTACATACTATGCTACGTCTTATGTAGGTTCAGCTATAGTGCTTATTAAATTATATTAAATGTAATTCCTGCAGAATTAATGACATTAAATTGCTGTTGGGAGGTCTGTGTGCATATATATAAATTCTATAGTATATAATCTATAAATAGTGCTTAAAGTTATATTAATTGTAATCCCTCTAAGTTTTGTATCCAAAAAATTTAAATGCTTATAACCATATGCCTCCCTGGCCAGAATAAAATTGTAATAAAGTACCCCTAGATGATTTCCTTTGAGCAAGGTTACTTCCCTATAAACCTTCAGGAGACATTTTTGAAAGGATGTTTCCATTTGAGTTTTAATTCACTGTTATGTTGATTTTGTATAAAAATTAAATTGTTCTTGATTAAGGCAGAATTAGTTTAAATTATAAAGTCAATCCTTAGTCAGCAAAAACATGTTCATCACTATCAAAATTTAGCTAAATAACATTTTGCCACAGAATAGCCAGTACTTTAATAATCATAGACCACTTTTCAGACCATACTTTTTCACCAACCTGTGTATCTTTTCTTGCATATTTTTATTCTTGTATTCTTAATCCTACTTTATTTCCTCTTATACTTTAAATCCTGAACTTGCTTCCTTTTTGCTTCATTCCTTCTGGAACTTTTCTTTCTCCTACCACATTGCAACTTCAGGATCAAGAGTAGAATTAAATCACATGGAGCCTTACTAGTCACATATCACTGCTTTTGCCTTTTGTTGTCAACTATGTCTGTGAAGGACTAATTAGTAATTTTATTAATTGGGAATCTGCATAAACTTAAAATTTGGATATCTCTCAAGGAGAAATTATTAGCTCCTGTGAGTTTAGCCACTTTTACCATTGGTTCATTTTTTCTCTGGAAGAAAACAAATTTTGGTAATTACTACATTTGTACTACAGCTGTCTGACAAATTTCTGGGTGACAGACCCTTAAAACTTTATTGGCAATTTTTTAAATGTTTGACCTGTCAGTTGTAAATTATCCCTCTAAAATTATAATTCTGCTCTATCATCTCTCATGGTCATCATCACCCTTTGCTCTCTACCAGCTCACATAACATTCACCAATATGCCTTGGAGACAATTAGGCGGCCTCAGTTGGATCCTCTTCCTCTTTCCCGCAGAAGAGGATGAAAGCATCAGTGAAACATTACTGAAAACCTGTTGCCTTTTTCTGTTTTAGCCCAACTGACCTTGGTCAAATAGAGGAGGAATACTAAATATTCCTTATTCTCCCTCTGTAACTGTCAGCTAAGAAATTATGTTTCCCATCATCATTAACACAGAATTAAAAGATTTAGAGAATCTAACACTTTAAAAGTCTAATTCTGCAAAAATTTTTCTTATAATTGGAATACCCATATTACCCCATCAAGAGTAGTACCTCCAAGGCACTAATCATTTGCTTAGATCTTTGCTAGTTAGGTAGTTAAGAGTGATATGTCTATTGGTAATTTTGTACATAATGCAATATTTTCCTGATAAGACTTTTTTTTTAATGTCTTGCTAATTGCTATTTCCATTTTTAATCATTTTTCCTCAGAAACCCACAATCTGCCAAAGCAACCTCCACTTGCCCTAGCAATGGGACAGGCCACACAATGTCTAGGACTGATGGCTCGATCAGGAATTGGATCCTGTGCATTTGCCACAGTGGAAGACTACCTACATTAGCTATGCATTTAAGGAGCTCACACTTATATTGTGGCATATAGTCAACATGGAAGTAGACCAGCTCTGCTGATTTGAAATTTAGATTTTTTTTTAATTATGTACTGGGGACAGGTTTTTGTCGCTTTACATTGCTTCCTAGTTTACAGCATGATGCAAATGATTTTCTAACTTAGTGTTAGGAGAAATTATTTTCCATCTTTAACCTCTTAGTTGTCTAAGAGTTAAATATTACTGAATCTCAGACGTTCAAATTGATCATCACAAATCCTTTAAAACAATTAACCTAAAAGAAACCAAAAATCCTGCCTTCTTTGTTGGGGGGGGAGAGGGGGGAAGGAAATGGAACAAGTTGTGTTGTGTTAGCATGTGGGTGATGTAAACTTCAAATTGGGAGATGTTCCGACCCCCCACTCCCATATAAGCATTCAATCAGTGTAACTTGCAAAATGCATAAACATCTGACAGTTTGAATTTATAGTGTTGACGGAAGAAATCATTTTTAATGTGTACTGTAAAACTTGAAATACTCAGGAGCTGAGTGAATACGTTTGTTGCTACTTACAATCCCAACCTGTTAGTCCCAGTAGTTTTGTTTTAACATGGTCTTTTCAACTTTGTTTCCTGTTTAACTACCAACGACTTCTGTTGTAGACTCACAAGTTTAACTGTTGTATTATAACAGTATTACATGTCAACGGTGTGGTTATGACCTTTATTTATATAAAAACCAAATATTTAGTCAATTTACCGTGTCTTAATTTAATCTTTGTACACCTTCCATTTTTAAGTGCTTAAATGAGTACTATATTGCAATAAAAATGTAGTGATATAATTAACCAGCCATTAAAAATTTACTTCTACAGATACTAGAGTGTCAGAACTGAGTTTATATATTAGGTACTTACATACTTATGATTAATATAAAATTAGCGCAATTAAAATGAATGATTTTTACTGTAAATGTGAGTTCTGCAACCTAAGATTGCCTTCGGTTTACTGGCTTCCCTGTATCAGGTCAAACCTGATACTGTGAGTGACAAAGAAAGAAAAGGAGAAATTAATCTCCTTATTGTTATAATCATAATTTACTTACCAGTAAAGCAAACCCCTAAACTGGCTAAAAGTAAAATTTGAACAAGCTGTTCAACAGGATAAAACCATATCCTTTGGTTACCTATTTTGTACACTGAGGCTTAAACCTTCCTTAAGACTAGATTTATCTACATTTAGATATTGTACTCCTTCACAACTATTAGTCTTTCTCATTCCATATTTTGTGACAGATGCTCATCAGTACATCTCAGACTAAGGCATTTGAAAAGACTTTTCCTGGATGTCCATTTCTCCTCCTCCTCCTCTCTGCCATTCCTGTCACACACCCACTACAGGGTTGGCGGAGGGACAGAAGTGCCATTATTTGTATTCAATTAAATGGATAAACACTTAGAAATTTAAAAAATTCCTTTTAAACTGCTGTTTCTTCCAGGACCCTCAAAGACTAAAGGCACAAGTATAATCCAGAATGATGAAATATGATGGGGTACTTCCAAATCAAAATACTTATTTTTGTAACGACCCTTTAAAATGATTTATAAATGATTTATTAGATTTCTAAATGACAAATTAATCTTCTAAACTATAAGTCCTATAAAATACAAAGCTCTCATTCTTCATTTAGCTTTGATTTACTTCTTAGAAGTTTTCATCTTTCTGACCATCCACCGTCTTTTAAACCTCTTGGCATTTTGTTTTTTCTGGATTCCTAGAATAGAAAGTTTGTGCAGTAAGACTATTAGAGATACAAAATCCCCAAGAAACAATTTAAAAATTTTCAAGATCCTCTATATGAATATAAATACTAAAATTAGGTCTATTAAATTAGATTGTATATTATATGTATACATATTACACTGGCCTATTTTTCAGAAGCAACTTTAAAAGATTAATATAGAAGCCATTATAAAAAGACACTCAATAATTATCTCCTTTAAAAAAAAAATCATTAAATACATAAATCAGAGCCAAGAAAACAAAGCTGTGGACCTTACCCCAAGCATTATTTAAAAACTGGGCTGCAGCCTTTTTCACTGGTAACCTCTTGTTGTCAAGAGACAGGAACTTATTTACTAGAAAAGAGAATTATTTATCATTTCTTTGTTTATCTGCAGTAAAAAGTGAGGAAAACAGTCCATAAGGAAATTACCAGTAGTTCTGTTGGTTCCTGGACCATATAAAGAACTTTGTATGAAGGCTCTAGCTGCTTGTTGCCTTGAATCTCTCAGATCTTGATCTTTTAGCCTTAGAGCCAAGTAGCTTTTATTCTGGCTGGTGATCAATACAAATACAAAAGGTCAAAACGAATCGGGTTGATAGCGTGCTTCCTTCAAAATAAAGTATTTTTGTTGTCTCAAAAAATGGAAAAAAAAATCTTGATTTTGTATATGCACAGACTAACAGTCACATAAGTCATTCATATTTTAGTAGAGCAAATATTTTGTTTTTATATAAATATTACAATTGGTTATTCCACCAAGGATCCAATCTTGAAACTACTACTACATTAAAATATTTTCCCACATAAGCCAATACTTTCTCTCAAATGGTCACCTTTATAACCTACATGAAAAAAAGACTCTTCTTACCCAACAGACTGTACTTTTTGTACTTTTTCCTTAGCTTTCTTGGAGTCACTTCCTTTATCACATTCTTCATTTTTCTTTGGCAAATTAACTGAAAAATAGAATTTTATTTCTAGTTACCACTTATGTAAAAACAAATCAGGAACATTTACTGGAGTTCATGTTAAATACCCACTACACATTAATTTGGATGCAATTTTTATTTGTAAGAAATACAGAGAAGAGGCCAAGCTAAACTTGGCCAGCCTTATTCTCATGCTAAGGGCCAATAACATTTGACTGCAAATTTGTGCAAATGCACTAGACACTTACATGAGAAGTTATTTAAATTAGAATAGGTCATACCTTCTTTTAATTTTCCTGGTGATTTCTTTATGCTAAGACGAGAACAACAAAAACATTGATTGGAATGGAAGACAGAAAAAATTATTCAACTTGTTACACAATTTCATCTGGCTTTACAAATAAGATAACCCTCCTTTCATTACCATTATGCTCAGTTTTTACTTAGGCTCTTTAATCAGTTTTAGAAAGCAAGTCACTCCCCAGTGCACTGCCACCAACTCTTAATCAACAAACTAGTAGATACCTGGATGGGAGGATCGTCTCAGAATTTAAAATTTGAAAGCATATTACTAGGCTTCCAAAAAAGCAGACTGCTGTGGTTAATGAAGTTAAAGTGAAAGATTTAAAGAATCAGTTACATAATATGTCACTTGAAATATGAAGTGAAAGGTGGTAGGCCCACCTCATTTGAAAAAAAAAAGGATTATTAATTCAACAGTTTTAAGTGCAAGAGACAAGGACTGGCCTTGAGGAATCTGTGAGACAAATGTAAAGTGACAAAACACAATTATGAGATGCCTAAACAGAAGCACTTGCACAGTAGAAAAGCTATATATGAAGTAGGAAGTAATGGGGTAGGTGGAGTGAAAACAAAGAGGTGACTTGGCCTCATTTTAAAAGATGAAAGGGGAATTTGCCACCAAATACATATATATGGGTGGTTTTTTTTTTTTATTTCTTTTCATGCCTATAGCACCTGGTCTTCTTAGGCGGTCTCCCATCCAAGTACTAACCAGGCCTGACCCTGCTCAGCTTCTGAGATCAGACATCGGGTTTGTTCAGGGTGGCATGGACACAGACCATGGACCATGGCTCCACTGGGGCGTGAACCCAGGAACTTCTGCATGTAAAGCAGATGTGCTAACTGCTACGCTATGGAACCACTTCCACATACATATGTTTAATCAAGATCTGAATAACTGGGAAAGTTCTACAGAAAATTTGAGAACCACTGGCCTAGGTAAAATTACAGGGCTAAGCTGAACATAAAGCATTAAGGGAGAAGACAAGGGGACAGAAAAATATATTTAGAAGTTTGATTCCATGGGATAGATGAGGAAGAGGACAACTACAGACAGCATTTGGCTTTAAACATTCAATAGGTGGCAAAACTGCTGCGTTTTAGGAGCCTGTGGATAAGTGTCTGCTACTCCACTAAATGATAAATTTCAAGACACTTTTACCACCGTCTACGCTGCGCCGAGGTAACAATGACAGTCACTTAACAATTTACTGAATAAATACTCTAGGATCAAGAACTCGGAAGCTAGAGTTACCAATGAAAATGAACAAAAACAAATGACAAAAGACTTAAAAGGTAAATACTTCCTTCTACCTTTCCTACTAAATTCAAATATCTGCTGTGTAGCTTAACTTCAGCTTTATTATTTTTTCAGTTTACGGATTCAAATAAATATACTAGTATGTAATTCAAAACTAGGTGTATGTAAGCAAGCAATATAACAAGATCCAATACTTACTTATTAGCCTGTGAAGCTGTAGTTAACTTCTCTAGAATAGTGTCTGGCAGGAGTTTCCTTTTCTTGGATAAAGACATTTAAAAAGTCAATAAAAAGGTACTGACAACACACCCACGTTGCTTCTGAAGTTACAAGATTTTAAGGACAGCCTTATATCCTAGGCTTAGGCTGACCATTACCCCCACTATCTCTAAACTGTGGCAAAACTGGGATCACAAAACTCAAAACCTATTCCACATTCTTTGGAACACCTGGTGGAGAACGGAAAGGGTGCCCACTGTACTCCAACCCTCAGGTCACTTATACATTGAAAGCAGTTAAGCCACATCCATTTGGAGTCAGTTCCCTATGGCTAATCTGCCAAACATCAGATAGCAGATCAATTACACTGTACAGCCCTTAGAAACCCAGTTGCAGATAAAGAAACTACCTCTGCGATGCGAAATGACCGTGGGTCCCGGCGAGCCGAGTGTCAGAAGTGGAATGAACCGTATTTCAAATTCACACCTTTTCCCATTCCCATTTTCAATCGTGGACGGCAAAGAGTACAAGCATCTTTGTTTTCACCGATGTCAGAAGAAATATTAGCGACTTTTACCCCACTCCCGTATCCTACCAGCTTTAGCATCAAACATAAGAATTCGACCGCAAGCCGTGTTGTTTTAAAGCGATGCCTCCCTACATTCTAACCTTTTGTTCGATGAACAGCTCCTCGCGTCGCTTCCTCTTCTCCTTCAGGAGTGTTTTATCCCTGGGAGAAAGCGTGACAAGTCAGTGCGGGGAGAGACAAGCGGGACAGGAGGGGCCGGTCGCGCCTGGGGCTCCGAACCTGCGCACCGTCTCCCGAACTCGCCGCTCCTCTTCTCTCGCTTCCGCCTGGGCACTGGCGAAAGTCAGCTCCTCCGGGGCCTCGTCGTCAAAGTCGTCATCTCCTTCCTCGTCTTCCTCCAGCGGCTCGGCGGCGGCGCCGCTGCTGGGCTGCCCGAGCAGCAGGCCGTGCTCCGCCTCCTCCTCCGAGGTGGGCTGTCCCTCGTCCACCATCGCCGACGCCGACGCCGGGGTGCGGGACGCGCGCGGCCGAAGCTGCACCATGGCCCACGCCGCGCCGGACCGCCTGACCTTTGACCTGGAAGCAGCAGCACGCAAGTCGAGCGTGACATGAAGAGCAAGCGACGCTGGTTTCATCGCCCCCTGCAGCATCGGAGGTGCCATTAAGCTATGGGACGAGGGAGATGGCCCCACGATGAGCGGAGGCGCATGCGCAGGGCGGGGAAGGGCGTGGCCTAAGAAAGCTTGGGGGTGTTTCCTGCCACCCGGCGGTGAGGCTGCGCCGTGGAGGCTGCAGGATATTCATTCACTCTCGCAGCAACCGAGCGCTAGCTGTGAGAGCTGGTGAGGATGAGGCTTGTTTCCAGGCAAAGAAGATCCATCGTGCTGCCTTCCGGGATGGGGTGCTGACAGCAGGATTGGCTGGGTCTCCGCGCTCCTCGCGGCAGATTGTCGCGGGTCACGTCATTCGGTTCCCAGAAACTCGGTGATCGCGAGCCCCTGTGTCCCCCCCGAGCCCCCCCCCCCGCCTTTTTTTAGCACCTGTATCCTCTTGGTCGAGCCAGTTAATCAGTGTTTGTAGGTTCGGCTCCCTTCACTCCGCCCTCCCCGTAGAAGTGGCGTTTCAAAAGGAAGGAATGCGCTGTGGCGGCAGGACCTCGATGCCTTAAAGTCCTGCTGTCACCAACGAAGACAAGTTGACAGACACAGGCTTAAATCAATGTTCTGCACCAGATGTGTGTGTAGCGACCTCGGCTTCCGTTACTTGGGCTTCCCTGATCTCCAACGTCGCGACCACGCCTGTCTATGCCTCTTCTGTGTTCATCACTGACACCCACCGGAACAGTTTAGTGTCTGACTCCCTGTACTCACATTTGACTCTAAGCTCTGTGGGAGTAAGGACGCTATCTAGTTAATTCCCTTCTGTAACCCCAGAACCTTGGACAACGGCTGGCCCGTCGCAAATCCTGAATCTGGTCAAAGAATGACTTCACCTTTACTTAGTGAATGCAACCCTAGTACTATTTATTTTCTCCCAAGTATATTTCATTATTTTGGCACACAAGGCTCTTTGTGATATGTTTATCTTCTCCCACCCATTATACAATACTAAATGATTCATCATTCTCTTAACAACCCAAACTTAGCATGTATTTGTACATGCTGTTCCCTCTACTAACACACCCCCACGTGGAACATCTATTTATACCTCAAAAACTCCCACCCAAGCTCACTTACCCTTAAAAGGCTTTCAAACACTTTTAACATCTATCCCATCCCCACTCTGCCCATCTCTTAATTGCATTTTCCTATGAATCTTGCACAAATTTCTATTACTGTACTTTCCACACTGTGTAAGTTTACATGTCAGTTGTCCCAACCATTCTGTGAACTCCTTGAGGGTAAGGTTCATGTCTTATTAATTTTATTTCTAATGTCTATCATATGGCAGACATTCAGTAATATTGATTTGAATAACTTCTACCTCACATTTTATATCTTCAATTCTTTCATCTTCCCTAATAAAACCAAAACATGAATAAAAATGATAAAACACAAAAACAAAAACAAAAAATAGCTGCTGGTACCAAAGGCCCAGTAGGGAGGGAGTTACAAAGAACAGTTCTGAAATATCTGGGCTTTGGTCAGATAGAAATCAAAAATATAATCAGACTCTCAGTGTGCTGCCTTCTATCCTCGCTAACACTAGTAAAGTTAACTTTGAGAAGCCCAAGAACAAACCTATTAAAAGTGCATGATAGTGTTTTATGTACAAAAACTGCATTATAAGCATTACAATTCCCCTCAGTGTACATGCCTTGACTCACACATGTGAAGTGTGAACCGAACTGTAAAGGTGCTTGGCTGGCCCTTCAGACTCCTTGTAAGTTAAGAACATCCCTCTTACTCATGCAAAGGAAATTTGGGATTTATTAAAAGTTTTATAAATGCAAAACAAAGTTTTATGTGATAGTGTCTTGTCATCTATTTTTACAAAAGCCCAAACTCTAACATTAGATTCAATTTTGGAAGAGACTATGGTGATGTGGCCCAGGTGTGTAATTACCCACGGAGTCCACCTGATCCAAAGGATCTTCTTATGTATGACCTTCCTACACTGTTTACTAAATGCCACTCTACCCAGTCAGGCCTCTGTTTGCTGGACGGTAGTCATTCCAAGGTCCCTGGGTGTGGCATTAGGTGGTAGAGCTTGAGGTGAGAACTGTATCCTTACTACTTTACTCCAAGGTAAAGTCCCATGGGAAATATTCCCTTCAGAATTCAGTGCCTGGGAAGGCTTAAAAGACCCCACAGAGACTACATGCTTCTGTGTTTATGATACAGAGAAATAGTCAACTATCACCTCTCCCTTTCCTTCTTGGTTGCTAAGAAGGCTAGTGCTAAATTTCAGGCAGCTGTGTTTATCCTTGGAGTCCATATATTTGCATCATCTTTTCCCCTCATCCTGACTTTTTTCCTTATTGCTACTTTCCTCTTCCTTCCTTGCATGAGTTCTTATTGTAAATTATCCCACATACTTTGAGGTGAAGCAGCCAAACAAGGTAAATACTGAAAGGTTCCCAACAAAGATTCTCTTGGGGTCACATCTTTCTAGAACAAATCACCTACTATAGAGAGTGATTTTATTTTCCACCAAAACTTGTGCAGAAATCAGAAATATCAAAGTTTTGCCTGTCTACTTCTATTTTTGCCCAAATAGCAAAAGTACAATTGCTATAATTACATTTTTAAGAAAATCTAATTACAATTTTTCCCTTCTAATAATAAACCAAACACATCAGAGGTATCTTATGTTTAAGTTCAAAACAAATAACGTGCATTAACTTTAGTTCTCTGACTTCTTATAAATATGTTTGCTATCGTTACCTCCAAGGCCCTATCACTTATCAAAGAATCAGAGGATGTTTTTAGATTTTCCAGTGTTCAGTTCACCAACCGCAACGCTGTGTCTCCTGTCTGTAGCCTGGTACTATAATTCCTTCCCCAGGACAATTAAGAAACTGTTTCAGTTTCATGAGGAGCAAGGGCTTCAGGAAGAGTGGTACCACAGGGCCCATGGAAATGAAACCTGAAATAGAAGGACAAATACCGCAGAGTTAAGAGCAAAATCAACAAGTCACAGATTTCTTAATTACACCCAGAGTAAAACCCAAATTCTCACAAATATATTATGAATTTTTGTGCCTACTCCTTTCATCCTTTTTTTGACAAATCAAGATACAGACATTTCGCTTGTGACCAAAAGAATTTAGGAAAGCAACTATCTAGAATTTAGGTGCTATAAATAATAATTTTATTTTAAGGGGCAGAGGGAGACATGATTGTAAAGTATATTTTGTGACTGTACTGCCAAACTCATAATTGCAATTGTGAAGTTTTACAATATCTATAGTACATTAAACCAGCATTTACATGTACTAAGGACAAGAGAAAAACAACCTCATGCACCATGCAGACCATAAGGATTTTAACTGAGTCAATGGGCCTCTCAAACCATTCACTGGACTTTACAACTAGTTCTGACTTGTAGTCAGAAAATATAGAGGAAGAGAAGGGAGAGGGAGAGGGGGAAAGGGAAGGAGAAAGGAGAGGGAAAAGGAGAGGAGGAGGGGAAAGGAGAAGAGGAGGGGAAAAGGGAAGAGAAAGAGAAAGAGGAGGAGAGAGGAAAAGAAGCAGCAAAAGCAGCAAAGAGGATGAAGAAAAAGAAGAAATATCAATGATTTCTGCTTCCTTCAAGAGAAAACACTTAGGACAGGAAAAAAATAACTGTGAATAAGAAATAAAGGTTTTCTATTAATAATACAGCACAACTGAAAATGATAAAAGCATTTGCTCAGTGTAATTCATCATTGATATTATTTATTCTTGATATAACACAAATCATGAATGCCTCAGTCCTTAAATACTCTGTTCTCTCCACTAATGAACATCCCTGACCAAATGGCATTTTCACTCCTTCTGCCACCTGCAGCATGTTGAACACTGGCCACTAGAAAGCTCCTCGCCAGCACAGCAGTTACAGTCTGTTGAAGCAGACTTTCCAAGAATTACAGCTAGGCAGGGAAAGCTTTTAGGGAATTCCCATATTCTCATCCCACATGGTCTCTTTCCTAAGAAAGTGACTTTTGAGTGCCCCTTTCCACATTCACCTTTTCCCCACTTCACAAAGGCAAGCTGTATCCCTCACCCACTCCAGAATGTGAAAACTTATGGGGTGCCAAATAAGGGGAGGTCTGAAATATCTGTGTAGTTCAAAGAAAACAAATAGTATCTAAACACTGGGTAACACATCCTTACGAGGTAGGGCCATTTCATTCTTGCTTTCATTAAAATTGAAAGAGGGTCTGATAGGTTTGTCAGTTAACAGATAACTAAATGAAATAGAAAATCACTATGGACATTTTAGCATATAACTTGGAAGGAGGTCCAAAATCCGAGTGGCAGTGACATAACAAAATTCCTCTCATACCAGGGGTTATGTGGCCCAGGTTTCTCAATACATCCATCTATAAAAAGCAATAACAAAAATTATAATTGATATTGAAAGGGGGAAAAGGACCTTAGCCAGTAACAATCTGCCCTGCCATCCCTCAGGCTTGTGGTATAAGAGACACAGATAAAGCCAGCTGCAAAGTTAATAGGAAACAATATTTTTTTCCCAGGACAATCTGCAAAATATTGTTAACTCCCTTCTTTGAGTAAATACATACTTTTTTTCCTGAGGCATTTTGCCCTCTAATGTCATAAATTCTGAGAAACATTACTGTTTGAAATTAAAACAGTAAAGAATGAAATATCCCCGTGTACCTGTAGGATCTAAGTCATTTTATCACTGAGATGCGGCCTTGATTTCTAACCCAGATAAGGGGTGTCTGGACACAATCATCCTCATATACCTTTACTCTGTCATTTCCAAGCACACAGGACCCTGAGTCCACTTTGCCAGCCAGACCTGATTGGACCCTTTTCCATGAAGCCCTGCCAGTTGCTGAGTCCATCAAAAACTGCTTCATTTAAATTTCACCTAAACTCCACCCTCCCTCCAAATCCTGTAACTCCACCTTTTCTTTTGTTTGTAGTGGAGTCTCCCTCATTACATTGAGTCTGTAAACCTGTCTTCTTAGACTACAGGTTCCTTTTGGTGACCGCAGGCTATACAAAACATTAACTCTGTCTCCTTCAACCATGGATACACGAACAGTTCAAAAATTCATGTCCCATGCATCTTTTAAGAGACACAATTCTAATAAAATTTTACTTTTATGGAAGTATTAATCAAAATTTACCATTTATTTATTGTTTTCAACAACTATGTACTAAAAGTACTATAAGGATCATTCAATCTGGAAGAATTTTTTAATAGAACTTTTTTAAGTTTTAAGTAAATTGAAATAAATAATTCATGTGATATTTTGTTGCAGGAGTATAATAGGGTAGTCAACAAAAGATATTCAAGCATAAAAATATATTACACTAGTACAAATGTCTGTGGTGGAAGTAGAATGAAAATACAAGTTCAAAGACAAAAAGAAAAACTGAAGGCCCCAACTGTTAAAAAGGGCTTGTATATTTATTTTGTAAGTGGATGATGGTAGTATCAAGTAGGTGTGGCATTCAGATTTGCCTGGATACATTTAAAACCACGATAATGGCAGTTTTATTTTAAAATGTCAGTAATTTATTTCTAATACTCTTGGAATAGCATCTTGTTTCACAATTTTAATAAAAAAATTTCAGAAGTCGTTTAAAAATGTGACAGGTACATGAACAAAAATGTTTGAATACCCCTGTCCTAGCGCCCCATGCACTTTCCCTCACCCCGCCAGCTATAAAATAACCAAGACTACTGTGTTCCAGAATCTGTTTGTGCCACTTTTTTTGGCTAATGTAATCATCCAATTTAATTTAAAATTATGCCATAAACTATAAAAAGATAGCTGTTAAAAGAGGGTTATTTCTAGGAAAATTAATTGAATGCTTTGGAAAGACAGTGAGTTACAAAAAATAATTCTGTTAAATTAGCTGTAGGTGGAAAAGACTAGAAGGAAGATTTATCATAAGTTTCTTTTTGTACATTCTTCCTCCATGTAAAAAAAAAAAAAGAAAGAAAAATCAAAACCAGAAGTCATAATCTAAGTGTTTTCCAAGATTTCTTGATGATAAGAATCACCTATGTCACTTGTTAAATACACAAATAAACAGTCATCTTGCCCTGAAAATTCTCATAAAGAAAATGTAGACTGGGGCCTTGGAATCTGATTTTCTTGGTTGTCTGTTTTGTTTTATTAAATAAGGGCTGGGGTGATTTTTATCTCCAGGGAAATTTCAGGAACACCAGGAGGATTATGAGTATGATTTATGTAAGAAAGCTGAGCTCCAATCAGCAGATTCCTACTCAAAGAAAAGGCTCTTAGCTCTATACCAAAAAAAAAAAAAAACATGAATGAATGCATATCTATGCTTTAAAAGAAAATAAAATATTTCAGGTATATATGTGTTCTTTCTTTTATTATTCTTGCCTTAAATGACATTTTAATTTTTTTTTTTAATCAATAGACCACTAGGGGCCTGATTGCATGGACTAAAAGGGCCCCTACTACCTACCCTTGGTAATCCAGCCAGGTAGGGCACTGGAATTCCCTGTCAATGTGGTCAACTGTAAGTTAAATGTAACTTCTTCATACTCTCGATGAGTAAATACATAATTAAAGCAATCTATAAAAACATTTTTTTTTTTAGCTAAGAATGCCTTTAGTGTTCTAAACCCACCCATCAGTTAGCTTTCTTTGGGGTACTTCTTCCCCCACGCAAACAGGTTACTTCCTTACCTTACTGATGCCTCTTCTGCGACTCCCTCCTTCCACTACAGCCACACTGACCTCCTTGCTATCCCTCAAACCTCCCAGGCATGCTTCCCTCTTAGGGCCTTTGCTCTAGGTAGTCCTAGACAATCTCTTCAAAAAAATCTTCCTTCAAAAGCTCTTAGCCCAGACAATCTTTTGCTAACTCCTTCACCTCCTTCAAATCTGCTCCAATCTCTTCTTAATGAGGCTAGCCGTAACTACCCAGTTGAATCCTGTAACCCCACCCCACAACTCCATCTTTGCTTCTTCCAACAGCTTTATCACCTACTTTCTCACATGCTATAGAATTTGCACGTTACGCTTATTGTTTATTGTTTGCCTTCACTACTAGAATGTATCTTCGTATGGTAGATGTTTTGTTATATTTACTGATACATCCTATCCTAGGAACCTAGAACAGCAGTCTAGAACATAGTAGGTACTTAATAAATATCTGGATGTCAACTAAATTCCAAAGTTTAAAGAAGAGATAAACAACATGGTTACAGGTTGAGGAGGAAACAGGGGGCTTGGAAGGCTCTGCACATTAGCATGGGGGTAACACAAATCCCATTTCAGTCTCAGAAAATGTACTGACCTTTAGATGCCACGGACCCCTGGGGTTGAATAATAGTCAAAACCTTGAAACCTAAAACCAAAAATGTCTAGTGTCTACTCTAACAGTAGTAGTTTCTCAGAAATCATTCAAGACAACCACTGGGGATGGAGGAAATGACAAAAACAAAACCAGAACTAACTAACACCTTGAAAATATTAACATTTTCAGCAGAGGCAAATTCTATGACTGTCATGAAATTAGAATTGGGGCAAAAAATCGAAAGAACTTGTGTAAGGTCTAAGCAGTCTTGTGAGATTCAAGTTTAAAATAAAATGTAGGCAGCATTCTGGCTACCTACTTAGGTAATAAAGAAAATAAGGTAAAAAAATATTATTCTAATTTTCATTTTTCTCATTAACCTAGAGCAGGGGTTGGCAATTTCTTTTTTCTGTAAAGGCTCAGAGAGTAAATATTTTAGGCTTTGAATGCCAGTCTCTGTTATAACCACTCAATTCTGTTGTCATACAAAAGTAATGTAGATAATATATAAACTCATGGTCTTGGTCGAGTTCCAATAAAACTTTATTTATAAATACAGATGGTGAGTGACTTTGGCCTATAGGCAGCAGTTTGCTGGCCTCTGACCTAGAATAAATTTCAACCGAAATCTGTTACACATGAGATGGAAGAGAAAATTCTGCCATTGTTAAGTCATGGCTTTAAACAAGCCACTCAATGGATCTAGGCTTGGTTTGGCATTTGAAAAACTGAGTAGGATGAAATGACCACCCAAATCTCTTCTAAATGTCAGCTTTGATGACTTCCAGATAAAAGCACTGCTGGCTTCACTCGTCAGGTGTATTTACCTGGGAAAATTCCCACTTAGTGGTACAGACAGCCTCAGCTCCCCAAAGAAGCCAACAGATGGTTGTTCTTGTGGTTGGTGCTGGCAGATGGGTAACTTGTTATATTTGATCAAAGTTTCTAACTAGCAAGTAGTTTGTTTGAACAGAGACAATGCAGGTTTTCAGGACATGAAGCTAGAGAATTTTGGGTGAAGAACAGTAGCAGCTGAAGCAGGTCTGAGGTTTTAGGAGGCCCAACTTATGAACTGATATCATTATAGACTAAGAATCTTTTCTTAACTTGCAGAGAAAACTACCAAGTTCAATTTCCTTTCATATGAAGACATACACAATGGATACCCAGAACCTGCTAGTCGGTCCAGGGCATGAGAGGTAGAGGCTAATTCTTATCTTAGGTTGTGGAAACACTTAAGTTTTATTTTCTTCTTTTCCCCTATCTGCATTTTCTTAACTTTCTATAATGATGACTTTTAAAAATTCTTTATACTTATCAGAGAAAAACTGGAGAGCAAATGACTGAAAATAAACCACATGAGAATAACGGAATTGGGTTGCAGCTCATTTCCTCCCTCAGAAAGTTTATCCTGACTCACTCTTAAGAGTATTATGATATTCTTTCAAGCAGACAAGAGTCTTCAAGTACATGGCTCTCATATCACTTTGAATGATGCTAACTAGCTCAGGTGCTACACATTATGTGTCACAATGCATATTAGAGGCCTAATTATTTTTCTGTGGACAACTTAGAAGAAAATTTAATTTTTTAACAGAGCTCTGTTGACATATGATTCACATACAAACCATTCATTTAAAAAATATAATTAAAAGGGTTTTTTAAGTATATTCACAGTTGTACAACCATCATCATAATCAACTTTAGAACATTTTTATCACCAAAAATGAAACCTGTACCCATTAGCAGTCACTCTCCATTCCTCCCTACCCCAACCCTAGACAACCAGTAATCTATCTATGGTCTCTATTGATTTACTGATTCCAGATATTTCGTATAAATGGAATCATACAATATGTGGTCTTGTGTGTCTGGTTTCTTTCATTCGATACATTGTTTTCGAGGCTCATCCATGTTGTAGCATGTATCAGCACTTCATTCTTTTTATGGCTTAATAATATTCCTTTGTACATATACCACATTTTATTTATCCATTCACTAGCTGAAGGACATTTGGATTGTTTCTGCCCTTTGATTATTATGAACAATCACATACACATTTTTGTGTAGACATGTTTTCATTTCTCTTGGCTATATACCTAGGAGTGGAATTGCTGGGTTATATGTTGACTCTACATATAACCTTTTGAGGAACTGCCAGACTGTTGCCCAAAGCAGCTGCACCATTGTACCTTCCCATCTGCAATATATGAGGGGTCCAATTTCTTTATCAACACTTATTTTCCATTTAAAAAATTATAGTAGTCCTCCCCTTGTTCATGGTTTCGCTTTCCACAGTTTCACTTTCTACCATTTCAGTTACCTGCAGTCAACCACAGTCCAAAAATATTAAATGGAAAATTACAGAAATAAACAATTTTTAAGTTTTAAACTGCATGCCATTCTGAATACCTCACTTCGTTTCCTCACATAGGCATTGTACCATCTCACATCATCACAAGAACGAGTACAATACAATAAGACATTTTGAGAGAGACCACATTCACATCACTTTCATTATGGCATATTGTTACAATTGTTCTACTTTATTAGTTATTGTTGTTAATCTCTTACTATGCCTAACTTATAAATTACACTTTACCATAGGTATGTATGTATAGGAAAGAAACATGGTATATATAGGGTTCAATACTATCTGTGGTTTCAGGCATCCTCTGGGGATCCTGGAACATATGCCCCGCAGATGAGGGGGACTGCTATATGGCCATGCCAGTGGATGTTAAGTAGCATCTCGTTGTGGTTTTAATTAATTTCCCTAATGATTAATGATATTCAGGATCTCTTCAGTGTGCTTATTGACCATGTGTATATATTTGGAGAACTGTCTATTTAAATCTTTGGCCCATTTTTAATTGGATTATTTGGCTTTTTATCATTGAGTTGTGAGAGTTCTTTATATAGTCTGGATACCAAGTCCCTTATCAAATATTAGACATGCAAATATTTCTTCTCCTTCTGTGAGTTGTCTTTTTCACTTTATTGATGGTATTTATTGAAGTAAATAAGTTTTTAATTCTGATGAAGTCTAATTTATCCATTTTTCTTATGTTACCTGTGCTTTTGATGCCACATGAAGGAGGCATTGACTAACTCAAGGTCACAAAGATTTACTCCTATATTTTCTTTTAAAAATTTTATATTCTTAGCCCTTATATTTAGGTTTGTGATCTATTTGAGTTATTTTTTGTATATGGTGTGATAGAGTCCAATTTTATTCTTTTGCATGTGGCTATCCAGCTGTTCCACCACTATCTGTTAAAAAGACTATTCTTTCCTTCACTGATTTATACCTTTATACCTTTTCAAAAATCAGTTTACCACAAATGTGAGGGTTTATTGCTCGACTCTCAGTTCTGTTCCACTGATGTATATGTCTATCCTTATGCCAGTACCACTCTGTAACTTTATAGTATATTTTGAAACTGGGACGTCTGAGTTCTCTAACTTCATTCTTCTTTTCACTTGGCTATTCTGGATCCCTTGTTTTTCATATGAATTTTAGGATCACCTTGTCAATTTCAGCAAAGAAGCCAGCTACAATTTTGATAGAGACGGCGTGACTCTGCAAATTAATTTGTGGAGTAGTGCCATCTTAATAATATTAAGTTGTCCAATCCATGAACATGGATGTCCCTCCGCATGTTTAGGTATTCTTTTTTTTCAGAAACATTCTGTAGTTTTCAGAGTATAAGTTTTACAGAGAGGACAATTTTTTTAAAAGGATGTTTTCCTAGTCCCCACCACTTGCACACAAATGAAGAACTATGGACTGGAGAAGTTTAGGACAATAGCCAGCTAATCACTGGAAGAGGCTCATAATGAAGCGTGTTTCTGCACAGTCTATGGCACATTTTTTTAGCCCAGTGAAGACTTAAAACAGAAGTTCTCATCCTGGCTGCACATTAAGATCACTTAGGAAGCTCATAAAAGTCATGATGCTCAGGCTACACCTCAAAGATGGTACCCAGTCATTCGTATTTTATGAATATGCAGCTGATGTTAAAAACCACTGATTAAAGTTAATAACAAGAGTTTCAGTGAAGTTTTTTATATTTTATTTACATATATAAAACATATTTGTTAATTATTTATATTCTACCTTAGTCTAGAAAGGAATTAAAAGACTGACAATAATATAAACTAAATCAAAAGACAAAAAAGCAGAGGTGAAAAAAGAAAGCAAAACAAAGGTAAAGACATAAAATGAAACCTAAAATGAGACTACAATGCATACTACGATGATCTACTCTTTCCATACAAACATGAATCAGGATCAGTATCATAATATAGTCACAAATACAAATATTCTTGGAAAGTAGACCAAAGAGGAATTTGCCCAGTCTTGCAATGACAGCAGCAGAAGATGAAGCTCTTCCGGATTTACTTGCTGAGCATTCTGCTTACCCACATCTAAATGCCATTACTAAATCTAGCTTAAAAATGAAAGTAAAGTCTAGGGGATCAAAGAACAGCTTTCAAAATGTGAAAAAATAAAAGTCCTATGGCAAACCACTGTAAAAAGACAAAGCCACCTTAATCTACAGTTAACGATATTTGTTCTTTCTTAAAAGAAACTACAGACCAAATAAAACACAAACTGTGTGTCTCTTCTAAAAATTAGAACAGTAGGTAAAATCTCTTCAGATGACCATGTTCAAATGTGCTCAATAACGACCATCTCCCACCTCGGTAATCCCTGTACCTGAACATGCTGGTGGCTGGGGTGGTTTCCATGTTAAATTCGGCCACTGGCACACCCTTGGCTGACACCTGGGGTGCAAACATGGCAGCAGGATAAACCACAGAGGAAGTTCCCACCTACAAAGCAAACAGATGGATATGGACACATGACCACGCTATGCCAAGAAGCAGCATTTTTTTCAGAAAACCTCACTTAAACTCAGGCAGGTTTGTGGTGGCAAGTGTGAGGAAAGCCAAACTGGATGGGATATGGAGAGTGTTTAAGGGACAAATGGGAAGTCGGGAGGCATCACTGGAATTCAAGGAGATGTGCTGTAAAAGGAGAGTTGTGCAAATGGAGAGAGTAGCAAAGAAATGATTCAATCATCGCCTTTTGAGGGTTAGTTTTCTTTTTGTTTCTGCTCTTTACAGTGATGCAAATAATCCATGTCCTCTCTTTTTTTTAAAGTTAGATAATTCAAAGAAAAAACATACACATCTTTCATAATCTTACTATCCCAAGATAACCACTGTTCACATTTTGATGCATACTCTTTCAGGTTTTCCCTATAAATATATGTTCTTCAGAAGAATGGGATGATCAGAATGTATCTTACAAGCCAGCTTTTCTCCCTTAGCCATCTGTCACGAACACTGACACTATACTCAACTTTGGGAAGCACAGTAAACACTGAATGAACGAATATACACACGAGAAAGGGCCTCTACTTTTAAAGACATGTTAAGGAAAATTTAAAACATGTCTACCCTTTGTCTATTTAATTCCACTAGGAAATTTGTCCTAAGGAAATAATTGGAAGAGTATTCTAAGAGTTATGGCTGAGGCTATTCACTGTAGCATTGTTTCAAATATCAAAATTTGAAACAGCTTAAATGCCCAACAATGGAAGATATGTTAAATACATCATTTTATATCCATACAGCAGAACACCACAGCAGCCAATTAAAAGATGATGTGCATTTAGATGTACTGACGTGGAATATGCGAAGTGAATTGCTATGTGAACAATGTAGTTTCAAAACAGAACATATAATATAAACCCATTTTCTTATGTTTAATCAAGATGTGTACATCTGCATAAGAAAAGGTCTAGACCGGGGGTGGGCAAACTTTTTCTGTAAAAGGCCAGATAGTACTTTTTTCTTTAGCCTTTGCAGGCCATATGGTCTCTGTCACAAACATTCAGCTCTGCCATTACATTGTGAAAGCAGCCATGGTCTATACACAGAAGACACATGGCTATGTTCTAGTAAAACTTTATTTACAAAAACAGGTGGCAGGCCAGATTTGGTCCATAGGCCACAGTCTGCTCATCCCTAGTCTAGAAGAAAACATATCAAAATGCTAACACTGACTATTTCAGGATCGCAGAATTATGAGTGATTTGTAATTTTTTCTTTTTTTATTTTCTCAATTAAATTTAATAATGAGTATGTATTATTTTAAAAATCAGGACCAATAACATGCCCTTTTAATGATGTGGGTGGGTTGGGGTGGGAGAAAAGGCTTTGAGAAGCCCAAAATGTGGTTTGGCATAGTTTCATATTTTTAAGATCAATTCTTACTTATTGCTTCTTGGGTTTTCTGTAGGATGCCACAAGATCCCTCAAAACATATCTTAAGAGAAGGGGTAAGGGAAAAGGAGAGAGGGAACAACAGCAAACTCCACCCCAGTCCTGGTGTTTCAGAAAGTCCCCAGGATCAGGGAAGGGTGTGACCTACCACTAGACATAAGTCACAGAGGGCCAGCTCTCTGTCAACCAACTCCAGAATGGTAGGATCCAGGTTTTCTCCGAACCACACCACGTGAGGTCGCAGGAGGCCTCCGCACCCTGCCTCTTCACACCTGTAAGAATATTATCCTTAACCCAAGCCCTGCCCTGCCTTGCCCTACCAAAAGATCTGCCCAGGGGATCAGAGGAAGCCCAGGGGCTGCCTCAAATCCAGTCTGTCCAGATAGGTCACCCCTGATCTTCCTTCTTATCCCCATCCCTGCCATCCCAGCCCATATGAGCTTGTCCTGAATATGAAGTACTGACTTTAAGTGCCTTACAAAGTTTTTATTTTGTCTGGATGCATAGTTGATTTGTGACGAATGTGTTTCAGCCAAACTTGACCTTCTCCTTCTAGTTTTCTTTCCTAGTTACTTCATCATACTCATGAGTGTGATTGTGCTCACAGTTACCCAGGTCTGGGAGGAACACTGGATTCACATTTGCCACCAACACCCCAATCATCCCCTAATTTCATCAATGACCCCCTTTCATTTTCTCTGAGATTCACTTCTTTCTCATCCTGTCTATAGTCAAGTTCTCCAGTGTCGATTACTAAAATTCTCTCATTGTTCACTCCTTACTATCCGTTAGTTTTCTCATATGTACCTCCTGCAATAACCTTCCCCAAACATCATTTTCATCATATGAATGTCCTACTCAGGACCCCCCAGGATTCCCAGTTCTTTCAGATTGAAACTTAAGCATTTAGTAATGAAAATTCTTACTAAGAAAAATAAAAAGTGTTCTGTGGTTAAATAAACCAGTGAAATATTAACATATTATAACCACTTTTAAGAGAGTAACAATGTGTTTTAGCATATGAAATGCTCTGAGAAAAGTAAACATACTTCAACTTTGTTGGGTCTAGTGTTATTTGAGCACATTTTTTCAGGCAATGCCATGGATATAGTGCTCTATGAAACATTTCTGGAAGTACCGTTTTAATATCTAGTCTTGAAAATTTGATATAAAAATCTTTCTAGGGTTTCTTATTTTTTAATCTACAAAAATTATGTTTGGTCCTATAATTTCATCTTTGCAAGACCTTTTCCTGTTTCCATAACCCTGGATTAATAATACTGATGATGATGAGGAAGATGACGATGATAATAACTAACATTTATTACCCAGTTACTGGACTCTAGCCTCTATGCCTTACACTGGATAAGCATCTGTAGCATAACAGCTTCAGAAATTTTCCAGGCTTCAAATCGTCCTGCCGTAACACAAAGCAAAAAGTGTCAGTTCCCTTAACCCTGGTTTGGTTCATCCTTTGTCCTTTTGCCCTTGGCCATATAGGTCAGAGCTGTCTTTCACATTTACACATTTAAGAGGCATCTCACAAAATGAACTTAAATTCCGATTCCTAATTTTCTTTTTTTGTAATCTGGAAGACCAAATACAGATCAAAGTTTTTACCCACCGGGGAAGTTTCTCAACTGGGATTCTGGCATCTTGTGTTTCAGGTTCTGGAGCACTGATGTAAACCATATAAGAAAGAGAGAATGTCATTAGTAAAACTGAACAAAGAAATAAACCCCATGAGTTTGCATATTTGCCTGGCAGGATATGGTACAAAACTCCTAATTAATACATGCTAAAACCATGGGTAAAACCGAGGACCCTAAGAAAGGTCCTTGAAGGATAGACACTAAACAATTACCCATGGTTTTAGGTCAAGAGAGGGAATTTATATGTGGGGAAGGGGTGGAACAGCTGGATGTGCTAAGGGGGAGTTTCATGATTTGCATTGTATATATTATAATTTGAATCTTCGGCAATGATATTACATTATTACTTGTATACTAATTTAAAATGGTCAAATAGAATTTTCTCAATATTCTGAGTCTGCTCTTTATTTCCTTCCCAAATTATAATAATAGTACACGTTTATCACAGAAATGTTGGAAAATTCAAAACGATATAAAGAAAAAATCAAAATTACCTATCCTCCCACCACTCCTGATCATCACTGATACACAGATACATCAACATGGGGACTGTGTGTGTGTGTGTGTGTGTGTGTGTGTGTATTTAAAAAGTTGGGATTATATTGTATAGAGTTAGATCCTGAGGTTTTCACTTAACATTGTAAATTGTGAGCAAAATATTTCTTTCATCATAGGGTATAATGTATCTAGTCTTATTTCTAATAAATATCCACAGGAATCTTAGATTAATGTTCCATTTCCTAGTATTTATGTTCAATTTAAAAGAAAAAGCAATATACACTTATTCTGTATTACAGCATAATTACCCTTTTCCTGATAAAGCTGGACAAATTGGACTCTTGTGATTCTCAGCCACAACTCCACAAGAGGTACATCGAGTTTTAAATATGCTACCTGAAAAAACACAAGTTAAGCAAGACCAGAAAGAGTATAATCAAGAGCAACTGTCTCCATGTTTCCACGTTCACTTTAGCAAATGGGCCTACCCTAGGTATCACAAGAAATGTAAAGGCATGCAGTACTATTGAACAAGCCAAGAACATCTGTCCTCCTGGACTTTATAATCTGGAGAAAAGAGGGATGGATGAAATAACTTACTACATGGCTAAGGGGCTCTCAGATTGCCTTAGAATGATGTTCAGAAGGAACTGAACTGGCTGACAGGGTAGATGAAGCCAACTTAAACCTAAGGGCATGATTGATAAAAGTTCAGTAGCTTGGGATGTGTTTTACAAAATCTTAATTTCAACTTAAGAAAGCGTGACTCTTTTATCTAAAACCAGCTCAATGATTAAATAATCAACTAATAAATGAAGAAAATAATTGTTAATACTAGCAACAATTTATTGAGTTAAACCAGTAACAATGACCACAACTCACTAAATATTCACGTGTCCAGTGTTGTGCTGAGCATGTCACACACTGTAGTGGACACATATTGTTCCATTCTGTCCAGTGTAACTTCTTTGAGGAACCATCTCTCCTCTATCCCATGCTGAGCTGATGGAGCTGTCAATGACATCTCAAAATACAAGCTTGGGCACAATTTCTAGACTGATCCAATCATAATACCCTATTCCTCTAGTGGTAGTGTTTGGTCAAAGAGGAGGTATGTGACCCAAGCAAGGCCATCTAGAAGTTCATCTTCTGAGGAGATAGCTAAGCTAGAGTGAGCCTGGAGCCACCAGATGCTACCTTCGCTGGCACATGGAAGCAGATCAACTGCAGAGGGAGAAGTGAGGTTAACTCAAAGAGTAAACAAAGCTGGGGGAAGGAGAGGTAGAGAGGCAGGGAGAGAAAGAAAGGGATCAGGGCTCCTCAGTTTTGTGAGTCAAGATACCTATTTTGTCAGTTTCAGTATGGCCACTTTGTTCCGTGTTAACATCTCTGAAATTGTGTCCTACAATTATTACTAGCCACATGATGGATGTGATGTGGTTGTCACAGCCAGCACTTGCACAGACTTGTTGAAGGATAACACCAATGACTGAAATGTTTGATGACTTGGTCGTTATTTTTTGGTGGCCTAACTGGGCAAAGGCAGTCCCTGTATATTTCAGCTGGCAAACCATTTAAGGGCCACTGGAGAAAGAAAACAAGTCCTGGTTATTACCTAGAACCTTTCTGCTGACACCTTTTAGTAAGACCAAGAAAGGCCCAATATCAAACTTGCAGAATGTGTGTCAGCAGCTTGGAAAAGAACCAAGAGCTTACAGAACTCTTAGGAAGAGCTGCATCCCCAAACCCTTTGCTGGCACAGAACATGAAACTGCGGGGAGAATGCAGTTATCGATGCCTCAGAGTCATCCAGAAATGATTTAGAAATATCTTAACCACTTTATTTCACTCATGTCTTGTTTAGATAGTGAGAAATATCTTAACCACTTTATTTCACCCATATTTTGTTTTTATGTGCACGGGAGTGATATAATTTCTAAAAATCTGTATCCAAGTATGCTTTAACAAGCCCTTCCTATAAGTATAAAATAACAATTCTTAGGGACAATAAAATATCACGATTTTAAGCCAATTATTTTCTTTCTAAGTATCACATTAAAAACATGATGCATCTTAAAATTGATGACATCTTCACTGATGAAAGGAAGGGCTTTCTTTTATTTTTACTTAAATTAGAAGAGAGTTCTCATCACTTGCAACCAAAAAAATCCCAACAAATGTACCTATATAACCTATTTAATCCTTAAAAGAACTCTATAAGATAGGTGTTATCCCCATTTTATTCATGGTGAGTGGCAGCCTACATTTTGACGCTGTAGAGAAATGAGATGCGCCATGAAGAGAGTCCCAGACCCAACAGAAGAAGGTGCCAAAAAGACACTTGGTGAGTGGGTGGCTGACCGCTGCTGGGACACAAAAGAGAGATGGGATCCAAGCAAACAGTGCTCAACTTTCATTATCAGGGTGACCGTAAGCCTAGGCAAAAATGGGCAACTTCACTGCAGATACACACAAGCAACATTCCCCACTGGGTCACTGTTTCTGGAAATTCCGTGCTTAGAAATGCATTCCTTGGGATCGAAGTTTTGTAGACTTTTAAGTGCACATGTTCTTGAGAAGAAATCCTTGCATGCCCATTTATACTCTTGTATGAATAAATGTATTAGATTTTGGTGAGAGCAAAGAGGGGAAATGATTAAGACGAAGGAAAAGGAGGGTGTCATCAGGACAGAGAAGGAAAGCCAAAAGGACTCAAGACAAAACCCACGTGTGTCACAAACTTAGTGGCCTTGCTATAGTGAAGATCACTGAGCTGACAGCTCCCTAAAAGATCCAGGGTTTAGCAGAAGCACAAACCCTAGAGTGCTAACTGGGGGACAAAGGGAAAGTAAAAAGATGCCTC